GGTGTTAGCTACCTTGTGCTTACGATTATTAGCATTGACTAGCTATAAAGAATGACACAAAGTCTGGGTTTGTGTTAGCTACCTTGTGCTTACGATTATTAGCATTGACTAGCTATAAAGAATGACACAAAGTCTGGGTTTGTGTTAGCTACCTTGTGCTAACTATTACTAGCATCATCTAGCTAAAAACAACACAAAGTCTGGGTTGGTGTTAGCTAACATGTCCCAACCACAGTTAGGCAGCAGAGAATGAAAAGTCCTTGTTTTTGCCAATACACGGTCTGAATCCCTGGTTTTTTTGTTGTTTCTTCTTGTGTAACAAAGTCAGTTATTGCCGGTGCTTCCGGTGACTCATCAGTCAGTCCCACACACATTATCTAAAGGTTATTCTCTGGGTTTTTGATGGCTTAATGCTGCTTTGGTGAAATAAGTCGAACAGGAAAAGGAGACCAGGCAGCACTTACCTCAGCACCGGTACTGCAGTGTTTCCAGCACCTATAATGGAAACAGCTTTCATATTTAACATATATTTAATCTGAAAAGAGAAGAAATTAATTATTTTAATTAAACAAATTACTGTTATTTTAAGTCAAAAGTAAGGAGATGCTGCAGATTACTGCGAATGTTCTTTTCTCCTGTTTTGAGTTATTTAGGGAGCAGAATTCCTCCGGTTGCATCTGTGCCGTGAATAATTCAGTCGGTACAGTGTGTGAACAGGCAGACATTCCCCGAGGATAACACCTCCCGCTCAAACATCAACATGTAACCAGACATCATGAGACAACGGCAAAAAAAAAAAAAAAAAAAAAATCTGACATTTTATAATAACATTAACGTGTTTTATTGACCTGAAACATCAACACAAACCGGATATTTTACGTAAACTTCATCCTCTGAACCTGGAATCCACTGCATTCATTCTCGACTCAGAACGTTGATGTGAAAAACAAACCCGATCGTCCATCTGCCAGGTTCAGCTGACCCAAATAGATTTTTACATGCAGCCATCAGAGCCTTATCCATAATAGAAACTAAGCTCAGCAGTAATTTAATAAAGAATGTCCTCTAACTGCAGGAAAAATCTGTCACGTTGCTCTCCGCCTGCTTTGGACTTTTATTATCTTACCTGCTGTAGATTATTTGAATGACCTCACCTTTGATACAAACAGGAGACTTAACTTTTAAGGTTTGTCAGGTTTGTTGTAAATAATGTTACAATAAATGCAGCAGATGGTTTATTTGAAACATTTACAGGAACAAGAGAAAAAGCAGGCTCCATGTGATGATGACATGTCTCCTCCCTGCAGCTGCTGGAAGGTCACACGAGTTTTTTCTGTGTCCCAGTTTCTCCAGAGGTGCTGGGGTTTTTGACGGCCATCGGGCTCTTCATCATCCTCATGACTCTCCTCTTCTGGTACCTCAACAACAAGTTGGCCCTGGAAAACCCGGGCAGCCTTCAGTGCCTTGATGACTTCAGGAAAAACTCAGAGCTGCAAGGTGAGCTTGCGGCTCCGCAGCGCGGGGTTTGTTCTGTCCGTGATGTTGTTTAATGATGATTTTAGGTTCCTGACTGGGCCGTTCAGTTCTCAAATGTGCTGAATGTTTAAACTTTTGACATACTATAATCTTCAAAACACGTTTACGTAAAAAACGACCTCAGACAAGCTGCTTATTGTCATTTCAGTAAAAGTAAAAAGGTTTATTCTGTAATTTTCCTTGCTGAAATAAGACGTGTCAATCAAAAGTTTATGAAACTAAAAAAAATCATTTTTTCACTCCTATTTTTTCTGTTTTATAGAAACATAAAAACATCTCGACCCACTTTTTAATGTGTATTTCAAAATGAAAAAGGCTGGATGAAAATATTTTAATATAACTGGCTTTTTCATAAAAATTTTTAATGACTTGAGGGAGATTTTATTTTTAAACAAAACCACCACTGTCTCAGTTTGTTGTTTTACGACATAACTAAACCCTGTTTTCTGACAGACAAAATGAGGAGAAATAAAAAGTTGTTGCAGCCAAGAGTTTGTTATTGTGAAGCTCTGCTGCCCCCTGCTGTTGGAAACATGACGCTGCAGCTGCTTCACTGACATTTACATTTTTCATCAATAAAGCCTGCTTTAAGTGCATGATACAATAATTTTAATTGAGATTTACAATTTCTTATGTTATAAAAAAGTATTAAATATGCTCTTATCAAGGCATTTAATTACAGATTTTATTACATAACCTTATAAATATTTTTTTATTGTTGCATAACAAAGCATTTTGTTACATAATCCGAGGAGCACCTTGGCTGCAATATTATTGCGAGTCATGAATCTTTGAGATTTTGCTAAATCTTTTATCAGCTTTTACTGAATTTATGTCTCTTTGTTTTATGTCATGATTCACAACACAAACTCTGAGCTCTGACGGAATTCTTAAACACAACATCATCTTCATGAGACGGTTTTGGTTTAAAACTTTGATTTTCTGTGTGCCCAGCATAAAAGTCTCCAGATTTGTTGTTTGTTGTACCACCAGAAAATAAAAACGTTTGACATCTTCTGTTTCCCGACAGACAAGGCGTCCTCTGAGGCCGACCTGCAGGACTCCTCGTCGGACAGCGAGGACGAGCTGATGGGTCAGTATCAGGAAGCGGTCAGCCGCTCCCAGGGTCTCCGCGGAGGAGGAGCCAAGGCCGCCTGCCATCCCAAACCCCTGGGAGGCTTCAGCTGGGAGAGCCGGCAGAAGTACAGCCCCCTGACCGCRGATTACGGCGGCTACAGCAGCGAGGCCTCTGCCGACGATGGTAGGTCCTCCTCAGACCAGGGAGTCGAAGATAAACGCTGCTTCTTATTACCGCCGTGAGCCCGAGATAACAAGCAGAGGTTCTTCTTCTCCCACACACACAAGCGTTCTGCACAAACCGAAGCGCTGTCAGCTGGCGCAGAGGTGATCAAAGCGAAAGCTCCCGTTCAAGCACACTCTCCGTGGGAGGGTTGCACACAGTCAACTGTCTGCATAATCTTCACATCTGCAGCAACGCTTTTTTTTTTCACCCCAAGATGCCAGTTTCCAGACCACACTGCTCTCATGAAGCTTTAATTTTGTTTAGATCGTCTGTCACTGCAGAAGTCTGGAGGAGTGCGCTCGTTATTCATTTAAACGTCACGCAGAAACACTCGAACTGTGCTGCGAGGGACTGAGAAGATAAACATCGTTACTTTACTCTCAGGTTCATCAAAATGAGCAGATTTATGCAACTTTTATGTTTAACTGCAACCTAAAACTAGGGCTGTGTATTGGCAAGAATTTGGCGATACGATACATGTCATAACAGAGGGGTCACGATACAATATATTCCGATATATTGCGGTACTGTAAACAAGGTAATATATTGTGATATATTGCGATTTTTTTGTCCAAAAATTCTATTAAATAAAAACCTCTTACTGAAAAAAAAAGAAAAGCTAATGTTTACTTACAATGCTAATGCTACCCTTACTCTCTGGCGCTCAAGAGGTAGAGG